CTGTGTTCTCACCCCCCCCCCCAGCTATCACAGCTCCACCCAGGCCCTCACCCCAGGGTGCAGAGGGAGGTGAGGAGTATCCCCAACTGGCCAGAAGCTGAGAGGAAGGTGAGGAGGAAGCCTGCTGGGGGGAGGTCCCTTGGGGTCTTATACCTAGGTATGCTGTGTGATGAAGGGTGAGTTCCTGCCCCTCTCTGGGCCTCAGTCTTACCCCTCCAATGAAAGTAGGGAGTCTGTGCCACACACCTCATCTTGGGGAAGAGGACGTAAGACGGAAGGAGGTTTGCATTCTATTTCTCAGAAAGTGGGAGAGGATGAGTTGGGTGCGGATGTGAAAGGCATCAGGCTTACTGCTACCAGGCTGCCGCTCACCCTCTCCCTTGCTGCCCCAGGAGCCCCCACCATTAGGCTCCTCACTGACATAGCTCCTCTCCTACTTCAGGCCTCCCCTCTTTCCTAACAAGATTCCAAAGGGTCACCCCAGCAGAGTATGTTCTAATTCCCATGAAGGCAGTCCCTCCAACCCTAAGCCTCAGCGTTCTCTCCCCTGAGATAGATGAGGCATCACAAATCCTGGAAGAGGCCATCTCCTTCCTCCTCATAGGGAGGGGAGGGTTAACTAAACTGGCGGGGCCTCGTTCCTGGGACAGAAACTGCGGCCCTGGGGGGGCCAAAAACTCACCAGGGGACACAGAACAGCAGCAATGCTGCTGAGGAAGCCTCTCTCAACCCCTTGAACAGACATGGGCTTGGGTGCCAGAGGAAAGCAAAGGGCACCTCCCAGAACCTGAGCACCCCTAGAGCCTCACCTCCTTCCTGTGAAGGATGCAGAGCCACACAAACAACCTAAACCCCACAGCTCTGATGGCTTGGAAGGGAGGTCCCCCAAACACCACCAAAGGGAGAGAACCAAAGGGAGGACCTGGGAAACACCACCCCTGAGGTACAGAGGTTAAGAGGGAGAGGATTACAGACATAACTTACTGGTCATCCCCAACTCTTTTCACCCATGCCATCTCCCGCTCCGACTGGTTGGAGGCCAGATCCTAAGGGAGAAGACGGAGAGGTCACCTGGCCTGGCCTCTACTTCTCTCCCATCCCCAGTGCCCGTCTGTACCCAGAGAGGAGCCCTCAACCTCTAAATGCTATTTCCAGCAGCCCCCAGACCTCCACAGAGCAAGGGCCTGGGGCCCGGACCCTGCTGTCATTTACCTGGGCCCGGGTCTCCTGCAGCTGCTTCAGTTCCCCCTGTAGCCGCTCGCACTCGGCCTGAAGCTGCTCCTCCCGAAGCTGAGCCCCCCGGGCTTCTCCTTGGGCAGCCTCCAGAGCCTCTTCCAGGCGCCTCCGCTCCAGCTCACTCACACTGGGTGTGGGGCCCGGCCAGCCTGCTGACAGGGGAGAGGACAACATCAGGCTGAGCCCAGCTACTGGGCATCTCCACTGACTCCCAGATCAACACGAAGTGAAAGAGGTGATGACTGCAGCATGAGGGATCCAAGAGAGACAGCTAGAGTACAGCTACCCCAGAATGAGAGGTCCCTCTGCTGAGGGCAGTGAGGAAGGAGGAGCTAAGCTGCTTTTTCTAATCTTCCTGGAGGCCAGGGAAAAATAAGATAGCCTTTTGAAGGGCTTCTCTGGCCAGACTCAAGTCTCTGAGCATCCTCAAGGGCCTCTCCAAATCACAACCTAGGACAGGCAGGGGACTCTGGGTTGGGGCGCCCTCTGCTGGCATCTATCAGAATTGCATAGGGGTAGCCAGGGTTGCAGGAGAGGGACATGGACATCAGTGGCAAAAATTGGGGTAGTAGTGGATAAGGTGACCGAACAGGTGGTAAGGTGGGATGGGGTGATTATGGGGGAAATTTAAAGCATTATAATGGGTGTTGACTACCTGAGAAGCTGGAGGTGTCCAAAGGTGTTGAAATGGGGGTTTGGCCTGGGGAGTTTGGGGTAGGGAAATCAGGGGTTGCTGAGATCTCACCGTGACTCAAGCCAGATCCCCCTCTCAGAGCCAAGTAGTGCAGGTCCAGATCAGCACAGGGCGGGGCAGGGGCAGGTGGAGGGCTCAGGCTTGAGAAGGCTGTGTCCCGGAGGCCTTGTTGCTGCTGCAGCTGCTGCTCCAAACCACAGATCTGTCGCAGGTGGGTCTCCACCAGGGCCCGCTGTGGGGGGAAACAAAGGCGTGAGGGTCTGCACAAGACTAGGGTACCTCTGTAGCCCCCCAAGTACAGGACTTTGCCATGCCTGAATAGCCATCACACACAAATTGAGCAGGGACCCAAGGTCATACATCCCAACTCCACCCTCCAAGTGACCATGAGTTCAAGGTCTCCTCTTCCAGCAAATGCAATGCAGATGTTTCTGGCTACTGCCCCTTGCAAGGTCAGAGTTAATGACTCTTCCATGTCACTAACACACAGGGACACTTTAAGAACCCTCAGTTCCCTGTCCAGACACCACTTCAGGAGCATAGTAACTTCCATTTGCATATGCGACAACCACTCTGGCTTCATCTACCTCATCCATAAGATAGGTATAACCACACCTATCTCTTGAATTTCTTATGAGGATGAAATGAGTAACTGTATCTAAAGAGATAAGAATGGTGCCTGGTACATAGCAACTGTTGTGTGCTTTTGATTATTAAAGCAATGCATTTTTACACTAATGCCCACAACAGCTCAGTGAAGTTATTTGCCCCACTGCTCAGAGGAGCAATGGAGGCTAAGTGACTTGACCCAGGTGACAGGTAGGAGTCGGCAGAAACCATGTTTCCTGATTCTGACGCCTGCCCCCTGGCTCACACATATGATCATACCCTGACCCAGAACCACACACATGCAAGACCCATCCCAGCAGCCACTGGCACTTCTGGTCACCTTTGCCCTCACCTACAAAGCCTTCCAGGAGCAGTGCTGTAGGCATAGGGTAGACCCAGCAGGAGACTCAAACATACACACACAGACATGATGTGCTACAGGGCCACTTACAGAGTCACCTCCTGTCACTGCACGGTCAGGATGTATGCACATAGCCACTCACAACCAATATGGCACACACAGCCCCATTTAAAAGGCCAAACGGGTACACACAGACACACACGAACACAGCGGGGTGCACACCGCAAGCACGCACACACAGGGTGACACACAGCCTGGGTCACACTCTCCAGCACCCAGCTCCCTGGGCCTCACCATCTCCCCAAGCTCCGTCTCCAGGTCACTCTTCTCCACACACAGTTTCTCGTAAGCCTGGATCATCTCCCCGAGCTGTTCTTCCTGCTCCTTATTCTTCTGCAGCTGCATGGGGCCCGGCGAAGTGGGGTGCACACCAGTCAGCCCATCACTGACTTGGGAGCTGAGCAGCTCCCTTGCTTCCCACTTCCATTCCCAGCACCCAGGGAAGGGGCGGGAGGAGCTGCGGCCAGCTCTAGGGAGGATCATGGCCATCTCTGACCAAGGGGACAGACAGCCAGAGGCCAGTGGGTAGGGGAGGTGTCAGAAATTGGAGCAAGCTTAGGGAAAGCTGAGAGGCCTGCGAGGGGCTCACCTCATGCTGGAACTGGTTGAGCCGTTGCTGTAGGCTGACCTTCTCCACCTCCAACAGAGAGCCATCCTTGATTTCATACAGAGAGAAGCTGTGCTCCTCTCCAAAGTCATTGATCAGCGGGTACTGTGGATGATGGGGCAGGCCCTCAGGAGAGCTGGTGCCTGGCTCCCCGCCCAGGCTTCAGTTTCACTGTGCCCTCACCCTTACAACCTGCCTCAGAGTCCCCCCTCTAGTGGGATCTGTACATCCCAATTCCCATGGGTGTGTAAGCATTTCCCACGAACCAGATCTTTAGATACCAGGTCCGCCACTCCCAAGTGTATCCCTCCTGATCTCTTCCTGATTGTTGCTGGGCTCTCCGGAGTTCCCGTCCAGAGCAGCCACACCTCTCATGGAGGACCCTCAAGTTTCAAGAGTCTCTACCCTGACCCCTCTTTTGGATCCCTAGAATCTCTGCTGAATCCCCAATTCCTGTCATTAGCAGCCCCCACCACACACACACAGCCAGACCCCCATCATCTCCAAGTTCTGACCTTGATCTCATAGACTTTGAGGCGGCGACGGAGGGTGGCATTCTCCCTCTCCAGGCCCCCCAGACGCTCCTTGATGTCTCCATAGGCTGTGATGAGGGCAAAGTGAGAGGCAGAGCACATGTCTCCCCCCAGCGAGGGGTCTCCAGGAGCATCCAGCCACACTTCACTGGGGCCCAGGGCTTCCTGGGTCAGGATGCTGATGTCATCCTCAAACATGGACTCCATGACAAGGGCCTGGGCTGCGGTACCCCTTGGGCCTCCTGGGAAAGCAGGAGCAATGGTGGAGAGTTCGGCAGCCTGAAACTTGTCCTCTGATACCCCTAGTCTTGGCCCGAGGAGCCCTGTGACCAGCTGAGATGCTGCCTGGTCCTGCCCCACCATCTCCCACCGGCCCCTCCCAGACTACCAAGCCCCATCTTCTCCTCTTTGCATCCGTTGTGGGAAGGGGCTGGGACCAGGTGAAGACCTGGGGGTGGGGGTGGAGGTGGGGTGGGACAAGTTGGGACAAGTGAGCCAGTTTAGCAGCAGGGACAGGTTCCTTTCAGAACCCAGTGGACAGAAGAGATCTGCCTTCCCAGCATGGGGCCCAGATGGGGCCTGCCTTGACTCTCTCCTCAGCCCATCTCCACCCCAGGCCTCACTTCCCCAAATACCTCTCTGCCAAGCTCCTCATCCCAGGCCTCTGGCACCCCTGGCTCCTCCCTAAGGAAGGCTCAGTGCTTCTGGGAGGGTCAGCCTCACCACTGTCAGCACATCCTCTGCTGGGCCCCCGCCCAACTTCCTCCTGCAGGATCCCAAAGTTCAGGAAAAGGAAATGCCCCCCCCACTCACACCAGGGCTGTGGCAACCCTCCAGGCCCTCCTCACCCCTGACCTAGGACCCACAGGAAGTCCTGGCAGAGTGTCAGGATACACAAAGTTTGGGGGGGTCGGTTCTGGGAGAGGGCCAGGGCCCAGGTGAAGAAAGCCGCCAAAGAATTCCCAAGCCAGTCCTGTGGGCCTGCACACAGGGAAATGGGGAGCCCTGGGAGGGGGGCAGGAATGACTCAGGGCTCCCAAAAGAGTAGGCTAGGCGAGGGGGTGCGTGTGTACTTCTCCTGGCCGTTTATGAATGTGTCTGTAGTTGCATGTGTGGGGGAATGTGTGTGTCTGTGAATGAGTGTAGGTGTGTCACAGTCAATGAGTGCCTTAGCGGGGCTGCGGGTGGGGGTCAGGATGGAGTTGGGAAGCGGCCGTGTTGTGTGTGCGCGTGTGTGCACGCGTGCGTGAGCGTGTGTGGAGGGTGGGCACGTTCGGGGCCGTGGGTCACGTGAGGCACTATGGGAATGTCCGAGGTGTGTGCACGCGCGCCGGAGCCCGTGTGTGCGTAGGAGAGGGGGCTCCTGAGGTGTGAGTTGAGACAGTGGGGTCCGCGACCACCCAAAGCCCTGCAGCAGAACCTGGGATGGACCGGGCGCAGGCCCAGGACCCCACACCGCACCCCTCCCCCATTAAGTGCCAGGGAAACGCGTGTGGCCGGGTCTGAGTACGGAATGTGTGCGCCAGTTTGTAGGGCTGGCCCCACCTTTAACCCCTTCCTCCCAGGCCCATCCGCTCCCCCCAACTCTGCCGGCCAGCGCTCACCACACCCACACCCCCAAACCCCTGCCCGCCACCTCGGGCCCAACCCCGCTAGTGAGGGCTCGGTCCCCTAGGCCTCCCCGACGAGTGTTTCCTTCCTCTGCATTCTCCTCTCCGCCCAGCCGCCCCGGGTGAGAGCCACGGAAGGCGGATGGGGAGGGGGTGCCTCCTCCGGCCCGGGCCCCTTCTGCGGCCCCTTTAAGAGCCGCCCTTTAAACCCCTTCAGCTCCGCCGACAGAAATTGTCGCCCCTCCCCTCTTGGGGGCTGAGACCGCGTAGCCCCCTCCCCCGCTGCCGGCCGGGCCGGGGGTCCGCCGGCCCCCGGCCAGGGAAGGGGCTCTGGAGGCAGTGCGGCCTGAGGAGCCGCGGAGCGGGGCGAAAGGGAAGGATGCGGGCGGCGGACGCCGGTCTGTTCCCCTCCCCGCCATCCTGGGCCAACCGCCGGCCAACCTCCCGCCACCTCATCCCGGCCAC